TCCAATTCTTTGAAATCCCACGTCGTTTTATTGCTCATTCTTGGCTTGAAAAGGAAATAAAAAAAATAGTTGCTTCTCTGGGTCATTTTCAGGCACACAAAACCACATCACGCCTAACAGCCTGCTTGAAACCTTTGAGGTGTCTAATTTTGCGTGTAAAAACCACACTTTTTCCTTAAAAACGCCATACTTTCCTCCTAGCCTTAGGATGGCAGTCGAAAAAAATTTCAGTGAGTTGTAATAAATAGCTAAGATTGCTTTGACGGCAATTATTGCTGCGGTAATAGACAAACGATAATATTCGCTACAGATTTCGCATGTTGATGATAGATTATTGCTTTTTTCTTGAACCTTAGAAAATACCGGGCAACATTGAAAACGCTTCGACAGTATTTACCCAAATTTTTTCTCAAAAAAATGGTTGAAGAAACTGTGAATTCTTACAAAATATCCACAAAATATCAAAAAATGATTGAATAAACTGTGAAATCTTATAAAATATCAATTTTGATCATGTTTCTGCGATTAGTTTTCACTTTTTTTCTTTTCAACTTGACTTTGCAAACTTGAACAAAAATAATGCCTGAAAATAACCAGGAAAACCCTTTTTGGATTCAAAAAGAAAAGGTAGGTTTCCTTAAATTTTATTTAAATTTATTGTTAGGGTAATTATAATGCTATCCACCATAGCAAGCAATTAAGTTTTGTAGAGATCAAAAAATGCACCTTGAAAAATCTTTTGGCTCATCGAATTTTTGCTGTTGCGTTTTTATTGCTGTTAGTGGTTCGCTTTTTGTTCCGACTTTGGATACTAAAGTAACGGAATATTTGTGCTCGGGGTGGGCCTTTTTTCTTCAGACAAATTTTGACTTTTTCACTAGCCATTTTTGGCAAAATTTTTTAAATATCATTCAACAGGTATTGTTGTCCTGAGCTTAATTTGAAAAAATATTTCACATGTGATCATTTTTCGCAAAGTTATGGGGGTTCAAAATTGCCATTGGGACAATTAACGCGCGATATATTTCGCGCTATTAATGCGTAAGTGGAGATTTAATCCGTCTTAGAAATCGTTGCACATTGGTTGAAAAAAGCTTATTTGCCATAATTGATTTGTTACCAGGAGCAACATCTATTCTTTCGTACTTTATATGGCGTGTGTGAGGATCATTTTCATACGAAATTTTAAATTTTAGAAAAAAAAAATTCATTTTATTTTATTACATTTAATTTTTTTATGACATTACTGCTCTATAAACCTCAAAAGGCAGTCGGAACGTTCAGGGCTTCGCCCTGATACTAGCAGTATTGTTTTTCTTGAAAACTGAAATTTGATTGAATCCAACGTAGCAGGCAGCTTTAGCGTTTTTTAAATTCAGCCTTCAAAGCAAGTAAACAAAAGGTTCGCTGATAAATGCTTTTTGTCACTTGAACTTTTTGAACTTAAAAATAAAAGTTTTGACGGATTTTTTTAACGCTAAGAACAGGCAAAGTCCTGAGATGGAACTTAATTGTTACTTCTGTCGATGGAAGTGACGAAATATTTTTGCGCGGGCTATTTTTTCTCCCTTGACATTTCTCGACTTTTTAACTAGCCACTTTTGGGCCATTTTTAAAATCATCTGTTGAGCTCAAGTTAGTTATGAGGCTTTATAAAATGTCAAGTTGGGATATTTAAAGTTCCAAATATTTTGTGCTAATAAAGAGTGAGCATTTTTTCTATTCGAGCGAGGTTTGAATAGAGGAGTATTTGTTGTTATAATGAAAATGCCTCTGCATGCTGACCATATCACTGAAAATTGTTATTTAAATAGCGTGCTTTAGCGTACTGAGAATTGTGCTTTAAATAGCGAGAATTGAACAGAAGAATATTTGTTGTTCTAATAAAAACGCCTCTGCATGTTAAACATATCACTGAGAATTGGGTGCTGTACATTAAGCCGACGAGACTTCAAGCTGAATCGTAAAATTAGAAACTTTAAGCCGAAAAGTTCCTCATAAAGTCGTGAAATATGATTAATTTGAAAACTTTTTTGAAGAATCTCTGAACTTCATGATCTTTCTCCACTAGTTATTGGCGTTTTCGTAAAATTTAAACCTCCAAATCATGTTTCGGAAAGGTGAAAAATTAGAACACGGTTGAAGGAAATTTTCATGTTGATAATTAATGCATTTAAAAAACCGGCTGATGTTTTTAACGGATGCCAATCAGAAGTGGTGCATTGTCATGAATAACGCTTATTATGGACTAAGCATGCTTAAATTTTTGAAAAGCAACGTTTAACAGTTGATTAAATAGTGTTTTGAGGTGCTTGTAAACTTTTAATTTCGGCTTGAACTCCCTTCGGCTTGAATTCTTTTTGGCCTGTTGTCCAAGACCCTTGAAAATTGTGCTTTAAATAGCGTGTCTAGGATGATTTTCAAAACAAAGTTTTAAAAAAATTTTAAAGTTTTTTTTTAAAGTTTCATCAATTTGCGTTCAAATCAAAATTTGTCCCATATATGTTGAGAGGCAGTCGAAAAATTGCTAACGATGCTATTATGTGAGCTGTCTTGTTGTTCCGATTTTCGAAGAAAGTCAGAAATGTACATGCTTAGTGTGGTTTTTATTTTGTAGACCTTTTTTCAGACTAACATTTGCACCCTTGGGGTATCGATCCTTGACTCTTCGTCATCCCGAGTAGCACGCACATCACTATTTTAACCTAACCCTCTGAAAAGTCTCTGAATAAAAACCTGGCTTAATCCGTTGATGCTGGATTGCTGTAACGCGATTTACTTATGCTTTTAAAATTTTGCGCAATACAAAATCGCTCCCGGAAAAAACTGGTGTGTGCTTCAAACCAAAGTTTGAGACTTTTATAAAGGATCGTTTAGATCTTTTGCAGGTGGTCGATATACAGTTTTGGTAAAATCTGAATAAATGTTGTTTAAAATGTTCTTCTAAGTTTTGCATTTTGGAGAGTAAAAAATTGAATTTGGCGTTTAATTTTCTCCATATGTGTAATATTTAAATTTTAACACTTGAAATTTGATTTTATCAGCCTACAGTTCATAGTTTGTCAATACTTCAATTAATAAAAATTTATTCGAGTCCATTAAAGGGCAGTCGAACCGAACCTCTCAGGGCTTTGCTCTCAGATACGAGCAGTTTTAATTTTGGAAGAGGCTGGAACTAAAAAGGACTCATGACTTCTTGTCCGATTCTACGTAACCAAAGAAAACATGGGGAGGGTAAAATCAAAACAAGACTGCTCGTATCAGGGCAAAGCCCTGAATGTTCCGACTGCCTTTTATGGTCTATGAAGCAGTAATAACTTGAAAAAACTTAATGTAAAAAAATAAATAAATTGATTTTTTTTTAATTTGAGATTTTTTGTGAAAATTATCCCCCCACACGCCATATAAAGTACAAAATGATAAAATTCGCTTCTAGTAACGAATCAATTATGGGAAATAAGCTTCCTTCAACCAATTTGGAACGATTTCTAAGATTAAATCTCCGCTTACTCTTTAATAGCGCGAAATATATCGCGCGTTAATTGTCCCAAATTGGTCAAAATGGCAATCTTTAAACCCTCATGACTTTACGAAAAATGATCACAGGTGAAGTATCTTTTCAAATTTAAGTTCAGGACAACAATGGCTTTCGAATGATATAAAAAAATTCCGTCAAAAATGGCTAGTTAAAAAGTCGAAATTTGTCTGAAGAAAAAAAAAACCCACCCCGTGCACAAATATTCCGTTACTTTTGTATCGAAAGTCGGAACAATAATATTAAGGTCTTGTTGGTTGTGATTTGGATTCCACAAAAACATTCGAAACATTTGTCTCGGTAAAGAAGCTGTCTGTGGAAACGGAACACATATGGTTATAAAAAAAAATGCTCTGATTTGCTAACTCTTCAATATCGTATAAAATTTAACTAGATTATTTGAAATTGATCAAAAACACGGTCCTAATTTATTTCTGATAATCTAACGAATTTTCATACGACGTTGAGCAGTTATATATTTTGAACAATTTTCATGAAAAATTGAAACCAAAGCTTTTAGCGACTTTGAGATGAGTTTTATAAGTTTTTTAATCGCTGAAATTGACTATAAGCAATGGCATTTCTTCAGTGGCGTGCGTAGAAATTTTTCTGGGGGAGGGATGTTTTCAAAAGGAAGAGTTGAAAATTTTTGACTGTTTTTAGGTCGACCTTTTTGCTTTTCCGAGCTCTCTGATAATGATATATGAAACCGTTCTGCCAAAAAAAATTTGAGCCGAACTCAAATTTTTGAAAAAAAGGCTAAAAACGACGTTTTAAGAACTTTTAAAAAAAATTGACCAAAAATTTGCATTTTTCGGCGCCCGCTCTCCCCTCACGCTCTCCCCAAGGCGCCTTTAGAAAGGTTGGCGCCCAAAGCGCCTTTAGAAGGGATCTTTGGAAAAATTTGGCAGAGCTGAAGGAAAATAATTCAACCCCCCCCCCCCTCTTCCCAACCCAAATATTTTAAGCACATGACGTAAATTGAGTTTGCTTGCCTTTGAATTCGTGGTTTTGATTTCTAAATGCATAAAATTAAAATGTTCACCATCGGATTATTTGAGGTGAAGAGTCCTTCATATATGTTTTTTCAGCTGCTGATTCCAGACTCGATATGATTTGGATGATAGTCGAACTGTTGAAAAAGAATCTCTTATCTTTTCGTCGGATTTTCTCGTCCAATTTTTTTTTAAACCGCAAGACTGCAGTTGATTGATTTAAATTTTTGAACTCTTTCTTTTGTTAATAAAAATCATCTTAACAAGACTTTATGAGCTATGAAATTCTTTTATGACAATCAACAAAATTCACATGTTTTTTGTCATAATTGAACAAAATTCTCTCTTGGTTGACACAAAAATGATATTTAATATTTTTCTCATCTGCTTAATTTAATAGCTTTGTTTGTACCAAGATTGGCTAAATTTGTACTTTAATAAAAAGCCAGCCGTTTTGGTGTGTTTTTACCATTTTGCAGTTAGAATGAATAAATCATAAGCAGATGACGATTTACTGATGGCCATTTTTTTAGTTTAAATTGACGAAAGTCCAAAAAATCGATATTTTGAACCACCTACAAAATCGATTCCTGTAGCTGAAAATTTTTAAGCCAATCCATTATTTCGCCTTTGTAGGATAAAAAATCCTCGAGCTTAAATCTTTCGCTAAGATTCGATCAATTTTTGGAGAAAAGGAATTTATCGACTAATTGGTCCAATTTAAAGGCCGCAAATATTTAAAAAAAAAAACAATTGCCGGATTTAAAATTTATTGTTTTATTTTCTTTATTTATCAGTTTTTTAGTGCAAATTGTTTAAAATAGATTAAGTTTAATTAAATTTGCTATCGTACCGTTGACTTGAAGGAGACCCGAACAATTACCGAATCGGCAACAAAAGGACTCGCGTCTCTTTAAATTACATTTTCGACTCGAGAGTGACAAAAAGATGCGTCAAGAGAGAATATGTGTTGGTGCCATTGATAAAATTGGTAACAGCCAAATTTAAAAATACAATTCATAAAAGTAGCTATCAATAAGACAACTACAAGACAATAACCAGTCTGTGAGTTATAATACCAGAATTATTACCAGTTTTCAGTCGGTGAAAAACAAAAACATACCAAAAGAGGTGAACAATTTTGCCAGTTGGTCCATTTTTATTGATCACTACTAAAAAGCAGAATAGTTCTTTAGTTATGAATTAGCATTGATGATGAGCTAATTGACCACTTCAAAACTTGTTATAATTGTTGAAAGTATTCTTTTTGCCAAAGCTGTGTTCATTTTACAATAAATTTTACATAACTTAGCAATATAATTTGTTGGCCCCATGGTGTGAAAAACGAAGTGGCATAGTTGTAAAGATATAAATTATAAACTGAAAAATTATAACACCTGGTTTGAACAACTTAGCAGTTTATTGTCTGATGGTTCCGTGGGCACAGAACATCACATCAAAAAAACTCAATATATTTTCATAACTCATACTTATAAATACTAAAAAATACCAGTTGTACGTGCTCAGTGGCAGTCATTATTTCAGTCTGTGATTTTACTTGGCAATTGAATTTTATTGACCCCACTTTCATATATTTGTCAGTTTACCGACAAGACCTTGCAAAATATCTGAAGCTGTTACTTAAAAAAGGCTCAAGAACTTTTGACTGAAGAAGAAGGCCTACAAAATGGCTTTTTGCGACCGAGTTTTTAGCCCAAATGGCAATAATATTATCCACTCCACAGTGTTCCAGTTTTTACCCCTACTCGCGACGATACTGGTTGCAGTCCAGATCAGAGAAGTGTCGGGGTACATTGTGCCCAAAGGGTCCCTCCAGAAGGAGGACTCAAGCAGTGAAAGGCAGTTGGGAGGGGGAGGGGGGAGAGTGCAGTGTCTGCCGTGTGAGTCCACAGTGTGTGGGGATTGGCGTAAGATGGACTGTAAGCATGGGTTCATAAAGGACGCCTGCGACTGCTGTTTCCAGTGCGCTCGCTTCCCAGGAGAATTATGCGGAGGTAAACTATTGCTCTTTTACTGAATATACTGAATATATAGCCCCCAACCCAGTAAAAAAAATATAGCCCTAACGGTGGTTTTATCATTATGTGGGCCAGGTGTGGATCTAGAATTTCTCGAATGGAGGCGAAGACAAAATTTTGAATGCGTGTTTAGGCACTTTTAGGCATTTTTAGAAGTTTTTAGTCTTTTTTTTTCGAAAATTTTGACCAAAAAATTACGTTTTTTCGGCGCGCGCTCCCCCCCTAAAATTAGTATATATATTGGCGCCTCACTTCAGAAAAATTTTAAAAGCGCATTTAGAAAAATTAAAAGACCAGTAAGCCAAAAAAAAAGTAATCTCAAAGTGGAACAAAGAAGTGCCAAACTGATCTTATAAAATCCCCCTCATAAAAAACTGTATTTAACAAAAGAAGGGAGCAAAATATAAACTTGACCTTGAATTAATTCTTTTTTTGTCCTCAAATTGTTGTGTCCACTGTTTGTTAATTTTTGGCCGTTGTGATTTCAGTGGGGACTGAAATGGGTATAACTCAGACTTCCCAAGTATTTAAAGAACACCATTGTATATATATGGTCTATTTCGTTGCTACCAGCCTATAATTATGTTTTAAAAACAACACTTATTGCTTTCAGGTTCGCAGAATGTGTACGGGACGTGTGGTATCGGCACCTACTGTCGTTATGCTTACAATTCAGTCGGCCAGGAGACGCAGCAGAGTGCTGGAACATGTTACGAAGTGGAGGGGCTGCCTGACAAGGAACACTATGTGCCGAGGGGTGTGTGGGTCATACCACCTGGGGTCAATTTCAACCCAGAGAAAGCAGCAGGTCAGTAACATTTGAAGCCGTCACTTCATGTCTGTATATCAAATACAAGTTTCAAGGTCAACGTAGATAGCACCATGTAGATAATGCATAATGATCAGTAGCGGATATAGGGGGAACGCTCCCCCTCTAAGTTTTGAGAAATCATTTTTTGGGACCTGGTGCAGTTTTGAGATATCATTTTTTTGGGACCTGGTACAGTTTTGAGAGATATCATTTTTTTGGAACCTGGTACAGTTTTGAGATATCATTTTTTGGCTGACCGAGCCCCTAAATTTTTTAAAGGAACTTTTTTGGCGCCAAATAAAATAATTTTGAAATGGGAGCGCGCTCCGAAAAAACGAAGTTTTTTTTGGTCAAACTGTTTGAAATTTTTGATTTTTCGTCTAAATTTGAACGAATTAAGCTACCGAGTAACGTTTGTTGTATATGAAAATTAGCAATTTCGGCTAAAAAACTTGATTTTACTGAAAGCTTCATTCAGCTCTTCTCTAGCAAAAAAAAAAATATTTAGAATTTTTAATGCACTAAATTTGTACGCGTTCGTATAGTTGAATCATTACACAACGTACAAAAAAAGACATTAACTTGAAGAAAAAAGAACTTTTTTCTGAGAATGTGGTCGGAACATTCTGCTATTTGATCAACATTCTGAACAAGAATCCATACTTTCACAGCAACCGGCTATCCTTGTTTTTTTTTTATTGTTAATCTTTAACAGTGTATCAAATATTGAGCATCTCATGTAAAAAAAATGTAAAAAAAACTGCCTGCCAGTTTCATGCTGGTTTTCAAAAATGCTCAGTAAAAAATCTTAATTTGCAGGAAACCCGAAGGAGCCAAAACCAGACAAACCATACGTGAAGCCTAAGCCGAACAAACAATTGTATCCATGGGACGAGTACCCGTGGCTCAACGATGGCCCCAACAACCCCAGCGGAGATCCCAGCTGCAAGGCTCAGTGCACACCGGAACTGTGCGGAAGAGACAAACGGGCAGTGTGCTCAGCTACCAACAGGTGCTTTGATTTTTTCGCAAAGCTTTTTTTAAATATTTACTTAGAAGCAATAAAAATTAATCAGTTGCTTTGAAAGTAGATGCTACAGTTTTTTTGATGTTTATTCTGGCAAAAAAAATGTCGGCAGCAAGTTTTTCAAAAAGATTGACCACAAAACATTATTTTGAGTTTTTGAGACCTGATAAAATTTACTTGATACTTGATACTAAGCAAAAAAACCCGCCCGAATTGAAAGTTCAAAGAGAAAGTTCGATGTTATTTTTTCCTCAGTCGAGACAGCCGAGATATGCCCAATTTTGGTCGTGCCGGACGAAACATATCTAAGCTGAGTAGAACAAAGTTAATGAGCGCTTTTGTATTTTAAGAGCGCCACTTTTGACCGAAACTTACCCAAAATTTATCGATTACGTCTCAAATGCCATAATTCCCAAATTGCATAAAAATGAAAAGTTTCCCAAATGGCGTAAATTTCATGCAACAGTAGCATTAGAAAAATCGAGAACAACTTTTTTGAAAACAAGAAAATTAGTCAAGTTGCGAGTTCAAGTATTGATTGACATTTTATTTTGAAAAAAAATGTAGAATTTTTCATCAGAAGCAAAAAACATCAGATTGCGGTTGTTGATAAGCTTCTTGAGGTCAATTTTTCCGACAAATTTGTCTCATAACATTTGTTTGAAAGCCATTAATTCCAAATCTTCTTCACATGTTTTCGTTTCTGACAAAATGTTAGAATTAGAAATTGATAACGTTTGATTTACAATGAAAACTTGAAATTTAAGCCATTTGGAAAAAGTTTCAATATTATGCCATTTGGGAATTATGCCATTTGGGAAGTTACGAGTTTATCAGCGGTTGGATCAAATGCAAATCTGGCCGAGAAGATTGAAACAAAACTCGAGAAACTCTACCTGAGACGTCAGAACAAAACGTAACGCTCCATAATTTTTCTTAAACGTTTACTTGGACAACTTCAGTTTTGCGTTTCCTTTTTTACTTATCCACAGAAAATTTATTCAATCATTTTTTGCGAATACTTCAGAACCTCATGAAGAAGATTTCACTTCATTTTGAAGTCACTTTGAAAGGTTTTTGATGGTTAATTCATCAAAGCAATCAAATATAACTCTAGCTGTCATTTTAAATGGTTGAATTCGATTTTTGGATGAAGAAGAAATTACTGTTCTCAGTCGGTAAAATGACCAAATATTTACCATGTGTTGTTTTTTGGCTATGGGTCAGAATTTGATTGGAAAATTATTGAATTTGAAGAAGATGAGCGGCACGGTATCCAAGTTAGGTGGAGTTTAACCAATTCTGTCTCAAATAAAAATTAATTCATAAATCAGGTGGCTAAAATTAGCAAAACGAAACAAAAACGACAATTTGCTGCACTTAAGTCCATAGCATAGTTTACTAATTTAATTTATTTTTTTTTGATAGTAAGTTTTGATGTATATTGAATCTTTTGGTGACATCGAAACGCGCCCAAAAACAGGGTTAATTCAATTTTTGAGTAATCATATTCATTAATATTTCAATGTTTTTTTCAATGCTCAATGATATGTTCGAGAATGGTCAGTCTGTTCAAGGGTAGCATACTCCGACCACAAAGATTTAGGAAAACCAATACAACAATTTTTGTTTTTTGAATTTAGTTCAGAAAGTTTTTTTGTAAAAAAAAATCGAAAACAAACTTGGAAAATTTTTGTGTATATTAGTCAGATTTTTATTGAGCTCAGTCTGTAAACGCATGTTACTCGTCAATTTTGCATCATTTGTATGGTGAAATTTTTGGAACCGTTTTTCTCGGCAGTGAGATAAGTTTTCTGATTTTGTTTCGAATCCGAAACGCATCCAATTAGGTGTTAATATTATACTACACTAACACTTGATCCCCACAAGCTTCTTTGAGATTTTCTGAAACATTTTTCTAAGCATGCCCTCTGCTCTTGTTGAAACCATCAAAAAAATCAAAAACAATTAAAATCATTCAGAAGGGCCCAAAAGTAGTAGTTTTGTAGTTTTGACACAACTGCTCAAAAATTGGAATGTTACACATCGCATTTTTCTGGATAAACTAGGCTCTTATTGTATATTGTGGCAGCTCGGAAAATCAGTCAATTTAGTCGACCTAAAATAACTTTGTGAACATATTTTTTCATAAGGTCATCGTTGAAGAAACCACTATAGTCAATATGGTGCACAAAAAAAACGACTAATCCATAGTCTGGACAGGGTTTTAAGTCGCGGACAATTTCTGGAAATACCAAAAAATTATAAGGTGTGATAATGTCTGGTAATTGCATGTATAGGGTATACAGTGAGCCAGAGAGGTGTGAGAACCAGTGTCACCACACCAGCTGTCTGGCCTGCTCTTACGCCATAGACATCGCTCACTGTGGCCAGTGTGGCCCCAAGGACAACAGCTGTCTGAAGAAGTTCGGAGTGTGCATCAAAGCACTGAGGAGGAAGCTACAGCTGCACAAGAACAAAGACAAACAACAGCCCACCAGCCTCAGTCCTCCTGTGAGTAAATCAACCACTACTTTTTAATCAATTACAACATTCTTGTATTTAATTGAATTCGTGCAACAAAAAATTAATGCACGCCATTTTTTATGTGAGCATCTTTTCAAAAAAAAAACTAAAAAAAATGCCATGAATGTTGCAAATCAATAGTAAAAAATTAATAATCTAAGAAAACATGATTTTCAGTCTTTTCATCGAAAAGCAGTGGTTTAATATATAAAAAAAAAAAATTTGCGACTTAATTCGCCAATTTACCACAGGCTGGTTGAACTTTCTCAATCAACGTGTTTGTTTGTTTGTTTTCAGGATGGCCTGAAGTTCGCGTGTTCAATCCCAGCCTGTCCCAAAGAAGTGTGATCACAATAATTTTCATATTTGATGCCAATGCACTACAACAAAACCAACTCCCGGGCGCAGCAAACGAGTCAAAACTGATCAGCCAAAACAAACCAGCCAAGATTCATTTTTGATAACTCGTATCAATTGATATGCAACTCTCGATGACTTTTCTCACTTTCCCAACTTATGAATTTGCGACTCAAAATGACATCATCCTTTAAAATATTTAACTTGTTGCTGTTTGTTTAACATTTACAGCTGATTGAAAACCATTGCGAGGAATTTCAAAAAGGTTCTCGATTTTATAGAAGTTTTAGTTTGCACTAATTTGCCTCTTTTTCTTTCCCGACAACCAGCTAACCTATTTTTAGAATAACTGTTTTGATGATAATAACTATTTTGTAATTAAAAATTGTATAAATTACGAATAAAACAAGCACAATTGAATTAAATTTCAAGTTGCTTTTTGTTTCTTTTGAAGAGTTTGTTGTTACAAAGACAGCAATAAATTTATTAGAGCTTGGAAGAAAATAAAATAAAATTTGATTCCATGAAAATCTGCCCTATTAAAATCCAATCTACCCTATGCCACTCTACCCTAAGTTCAGTAATAAATTTAATTGGTCAGAAATAACTGAGCCGACTACCTCAATTTAAGGTCTGCGGTGGGGTCACTATGCGAGCGTCACCGCTTAGCGACAATAACTGGCTCTAATTTTCATATAGATTCCTACCCTTTGTTGGCAAGCTCGCAAAACGTTGGCGCGACTGCGGAGACCGCTTTTTTGCTGTTATCGCTCCGTCCTAAATGATTACCTTTTGTTGCGCTAGTAGCACAGAAAAATCCGATCACAATAATTCGAAAGCTAATGTTTTCTGTTAAATAAAAACACCAATTTTTAACTCCAAATAACTACTTTTTGACTATCGAAACAACCATTTTTATTAGGGTGTTTTGTTTTCTGCTTTCTATATAATTGGTAAATAAAATTTGAATAAACTAGTTAACTAGTAAATAAAAAGTTAAATAAAAAGGTTGATCCCTCTAATCCCCCTACGAGCATTAGTTTTATGGTGTAACAAGTGGTTTTACAAAGTTCAAAATGAAATCCAATCGTAACAATCTGACAATTTTAACAATACTTTTATTTGAAAAAACTTCCTATTTGTAGGAGAACTAAAAAAAAGAGTTTACATCTTTCCAGTGGTGTAACTACCCCACGACGCCAAATTCAAGTGGGGACTAAATTCAAGTAGGCTTCAAATTGATCCAAAAACCGAAACGTTCGAGACTGAGAGAAAATTTCAACAAATTTTGCTGTTATATCAAAATTTCAAAAAGTAAGACTTTAAAATGACACCATTGTTGCCTCAATAAATCATACGGAGTAGTTTTTATTTTTTTTAAGAAAAAACCTCATCAAAAGTTTTGAAAGTTTTTTTCAACCTTGAGATGAAATTTTGAAAAAAAAATATTTTTATAATATTTTATTAACATGCCTTTCTCACTTACCACTTGCAAAGTAAAAGCAGCCGAATTGAAATAATTTTACCTACAATTTCAATTCAACCATCAAAATATGTTGCTTAATTTGATGTATGCAACTGTAAAGATCACACTGAATGCAAATTTCCTATTATTTTTTTTCGAATGTCGGAAAAAAGAATTCCCCGCCAACATGAAAAAAACTAGAACGTTTTATGACTGCTGATTAAAAACAATGTTTTTATCTTATTGAGACAAGAAATCCGACTATTATTTTAAATTAATTTTGAAATGCAAAAACTATGCATTTCAGCTCAACACAGTTTTTATTTCAAAATGGAGAAATCAAGAAAGCTTCGAGCTTAGAATAAACTACAAATAGGTGAAAGTTTGATTTGCGTTTTCAATCTTGTATTCTTCTGCTCTTCTGAAGGAATCAAACTGTGTGTCACTGGAGTTTGAAGTTTCGAAGTTGGGGAATAAAATTTTTTTTTCCGTTTTGAGAAAAGTTTACTTTGGAATTTTTTTAAATATTTTTTTGAAAAATGCCATTTTGTTATCACTGCCCAGAAATTTTTTTGTTTTTTCAAACTGTAAATACTTAAATTGAAAAAGCTCTAAAACTGACTAAATTCTCACTTTTATGCTGAATTTTGGCACTATATTGTAATCCAAAGCCGAATTAACTGCTTCTGAATAATCTTTTCATTTAATTTGTATTGATATATCAATTATATTAGCCAAAATCATGATTTTTGTAAGTTTGGCCTAAAATACAGAGTAGTGTTATGGGACAACTCAAAATAAAAGTCCGACTTGCTTCAATAAAACACTTTCATTAGTAGAAATTTCAAAAATAAAGCAAAAACATTTTAAATGAAGCCTCTATCAAACTCTAATTCAATCCATAGCGCGCTATTCTTTATATGGTTTTCGAGTCGAATAAAATACACGGTGTAAAAAAATTTGAAATAATCAAAAACCAAATCTGAAGTTTGTGAACAATCCCTATTGCATTAGAAAAACCAAAAACTTGTTTTGATTTTATGAAGTAAGGATATCAAAAAATAGTAAGTGATGTAAAAAAAAACTGTAAGTAAAATAACTGTCGACAAAATTAACAAAATAGGGGTTAGAATAAAAAACTGGAGTGTTCGTATCACGGTAAGTTTTAGAGAAAAATATATTACAAAAGATATTCGAAAAAAAAGAAATATAAACTTTATACATCTCTGTCATTGAAATAATCAAACTTTTTGCAAGAAAAAAATCGCGGCAAGCAAAAACACTAAAATTTTTTTCAAACTTACCATTTTCCCCAAAACTTATATCCGAATTTCTCTATCTACTATAATTGGTTAATAAGTTTTTCTGATTTTGTTTCGACTCAATGGTAAAGAAAACAACAGTTCGTGCTCTGAGTTTTGCAGTAGATGACATATAGTCAAGCTTGAGGTTTTGTTTTCTATAATTAAAATTGTATGGTTGAAAAAAATTTTATACAAAAAAAACTTGCTATTCAAAATAATGGTAATGGAATTTTTCTTGTTTCCCTTTTTGTACAAGACTGTTTGTCACTTTTGGTCTTTTTGCTCTATAACTAATGCTCATTTCGTCGTGAACACAGTGCAAAAGAAGCTACATAATCTGCTCATTAAATCTTTCTTTACTGAGCTGAGGCAAAATAATTAATCTAAAAACCATTAATTGAAGAAATTATTCTAAATATGATTCTAACCCAGCTGCTTCAATCAAAAAATTCAAATTTTCCTGATTGACTCTTGACGCATTCGTTAACTATTCTTTGATGCCTAAATTACAGACCCAAGTTTTTATTCCAGACCCAAGTTTTTATCTAAAAAATATTGAAATTTAGCGCAATATTTAAATAATGCACTACTGATTCAAATATTGGATTAGTTTTTCAAATATGAAAATGGGCTCTTTTCCAGTCCCCCCTTTCAAAATACCGAGTTTTATGTTTGTTTTACGTGTTATTACGGCTAAATGCGTGATGTTACGCTGTAAAGTATGAAGAACAAATATGTTCATAATTGTCGATTTGTTCACCACGCAAAATTTCAATGCATTATGACAACGTTAAAACGACTTTTCAAAATTGAATTTGAAAGGGGGGGAACTGGAAAAGAGCCTGAAAATGAAGCACTAGTGCAATTTTTTTCTAGAACAATCAACCAAAATAAATTTTTGGCGACGGACCCTAAATATTTTTATAAGGCGCCTTGGATGCCAATATATACTAATTTTGAGGGGGGGGGGGGGGGGGGGGTTAGCGCGCGATTTTTTGGTGAAAGTTTTCTAAAAAGTGCCTTTTTTGGACTGTTTTTTCAAAATTTTCCAACATTTTTTTGAAAATCCGCCCCGTTGAGAAAATCCTAGATCCGCCCCTGTATGCCACGGTTTTATATTTTAGAGGTTTGCCAGATTTCGACATTTTTCAACGGCAGATAATTTTTTAATATGATAATATTATTACAAGTTTAATTTTTGCCAAAAACAACAAAGAAAAATTTTCGGCTCTTTTTCCTTTTCCCCCCCACCTGCAAATTTTTATATTTGAAAATACTGTTCATTTTGTCCGATTGTCGTGAAAATTTACATGCAGACTAATTAGGCCATAACAAGCATATATAGTCTTCATAATCAACCTTGTAAAACCACTCGTTAGACCATAAAATTCATGTTTGAGTGAGGTGGGGGGGAAAAGGAAAAAGAGCCAAACTTTCAATTATTTAAAATCAAGATTAGAAAACCAGTAAAGTTTCGAAGTACAACTTCGAGAGGAAACGCTTTTCTCCAAATTCCACTCTTCATGTTTTCCGGCGAACACTTTTATAAAACATTTTGTAAAATCTGAATCGAATTCAGTCCAATTTAAGCATCAAGTTTGTTCGTATTAACCCGTTTGTGCAGCTTGTTTGAAACCGCTTTACAGAGTTTAGCAATTTCATCCTATTTCGTGTTTTTCGCCATGAGAATTAGCATTTTCATACTTTTATTTCTGTTTTCTCTTATCAGTGCAGGTAAGAACATCTTTCTTCAATTGTTAACTTGCAAGAACTGAATTTAAATGAGCATTAAATAAGCATGCAACAGAGTGGAACCTGTTTGTGATAATCAAATCATGATATCGATCTCCACACGTGACTTTAAATTTCAAAGAGAACTGAAAAAAACTGCCCGAATAACAAAATGGTCGTCAAGCCACCTAAAGTGTCGGAGAAGCTTTGTCTGATTTTTTTTAAATTAAAAAAAGAAGAAAGTCTGAACTACCCCCCCCCCCCCCCTGTGTTAAAATATGTTGAACCAAATGTATCAAATTTCCAACAACATATTCTAGAAAAATTTGATTTGGTGAACGAGAAAACTAAATCGGAAGGTTTTGATTCTGTTTCGATTGCAACATCACCTCTTGATCCACTAAAAACTGAAAAACTGAAACATTATCCCGAGGTACTTTTTTTGCAAATTTTATCAATGAACATCTAGAATTGCATGTTTTTCCTACAAGCAATAGTTAGACCATATCTTTAAAAAAAAAACAAATTTAGAACCTTAAGATTTTGCTTTGTATCGTCCTGTTTTAAACTTCCTTTTTTTCAAATTAAACAAAAAGATAATTTTTGAACAGCTGAATGGGTATTTATTAGAAAATCTACTCTTAGACGATCAGCAATCTGCGTACAGGAAGTAATACTAGACTGAAACCGCATTTTAAAAAAATACCTGAAGTCATGATTGCAACGAACAAAACTTTGTACATCGGAGTTATTGCCCTAGATCTATCGGCAGCTTTTGATACCTCAAACTACGCTAATTTGAAGCAGGTTATACTTAATGACATGCATTTGAAAGAAGCAGCAGCCAACTTGATTACGTCTTACGTAAGTGACAGAACCCAGAGTATCAAAATAAATTACTCTTGTTC